AGGGAACAGAAAACACGATGTAACCTCAAACAATACTGCAGCAAAGACAGACAGAGTGAGCATGGTATAAATAGTGATGGGATGATGAGTAAATTACTAACAGGTGATCATGATCAGAACAGAACGACAGGCAAGGGACTACGGGAAATGGAGTTCAAAACATGTAACACTGAAACGGGAGAGCGCCCTCAAGTGGCCAGTCCAGGGCACCACAATCAGACACTGTGGGCATCTTTCTCATTTATTTTTCAATACATTCATTATGGTTCCCTGAACGTTTAGGGTTATGCTCACGTTTGCCAACTCTCACGAGACAAATAAGCAACTGCTGCTTCAAAATCAAGCCGAAAACAAGCCCAATATTTTTTTGATGATTTATTATCATCAATATTATTTATTATCAATTATTTATTACCAATAAATGTTCTCCAATGAGAGGGAGGAACATTTGGCAAATTACGCTGCAGCATTTATATTATTGCACTGGTTGGCTATTAACTGCGAGCAGACAGATGTCATTCAATGCATTGGAGAATACGACGAACATAAATAAAGAAACGAAGTTTCTTGTCAGATTTCCCTAACATTTCCTTTTTTCAAGCAACTTTTTGTCGCGTATAATACTCGGACTTGGCAACTATTGTTACGCTAGCTAAGCTTTTGGTTCCCTTAGCTTGTTGTTGGTTAGTCAGTATTTACCACAGTCTATGGTCTTTACGGAAATCTATAGGCTAGTCTTTACGCTTTGCAAAAAAAAAAAAAAAAAAATTTATTTGAAAATTTGATTGGAAATTATATATTTAGATATTATTTAGACATACATTAGATATAAAACAAATAAGTCTGAAAGAGAGAGGTGTGAGTTTTGGATGGAAGAGTAGAGGTTGGGCCAAGGAGTATGGCATGGATAATAAGATCTTCTGTCCTAATGTACCACTCACTGATGCCCCACTATGGAGAGTCCCTGAACCACTTGTAGACTTGAGCTTACTAGACAAGCCCAAAGGTGAATACATTGGAAAGGAGGTTAATGCTATTCTAAATAATACATTTTATTCAACATTACAAATATTTACGGATAGATCTAAGGAACCTGTTAATCAAAAGGTTGGAATAGGTGTATATATTCCAAAATTTAAAGTACGAATTAGTTTGAAATTGCCAGATGATTTATCAGTATACACTGCAGAGTTAACAGCTATAATAATAGGACTACAGTGGGTTGAACAAGTCAGACCAAATAAAGTGGTAATATGTTCAGATTCGTCTTCAGCTTTAATTAGTATAGCACATGCGAGATCAGACAGAGAAGATTTATTAATGGAAGTGTATCTATCTTTACACAGATTGAAAGAGCCTGGAATAATGATATATTTTTGTTGGGTGCCAGCACATGTTCATTAATGAAGTTGCTGATAAACTAGCAAAAAAAGCACTGGACAAGATGGAGGTGGATGTTAAAGTGCTTATGGGGAAAGTCGATTTTAAATAAAAAGTTAATGAATAAATGGCAAATTAGATGGTATAATAGCAGCACAGGGAGATGGTGTTATAATATTACGCAGAGAGTATAGGGAGGATACACTGTCAGGGAAGAAATAGGAAAGAAGAGGTGTGGCTGTCTAGATTAAGACTGGGACATACAGGGTTGAAATCAACACTGGCACTTATGGGTTTACATGAAAATGGGTTATGCGATGTATCTGAAAATGTATATCATGCACTTTTTAGGTGTAGTAAATATAGTGTATATCGTGACATATTATTTAGTCACTTTGGGGAGGAGAGATTGACACATGAGGATATTTTAGGAAAAGGTTTAGTGGATAGACGGGTATACAGAGCACTAATTAAATATATCTATGACTCAGGTTTAGGATCTAGATTATAATATGTGTGGATGGGAGTATTCTACCTAATCTGGGGCATGAAGAGCTAATTGTGAGTGTTAGAGGAGCTGAAGAAGAGAGAGGTGTGAAGTCGGAACCGTTATTCTCTCGTTCATGTTTCCGGTCGAGAGAAATAAACACGGGATCTCCTTCCTGTAAGTTACGTTACACACGCGGACGCAGGCTCAACTAAACAACAATTGAATAAACCAGATATCTTGAAATTAATAAATTACAATGGAAACGATTTTAGAGCAGCAGCGACGATACCACGAGGAGAAAGAGAGACTTATGGACGCCAAAACGAAGGAGATGCTAACGAAAAAAACCACGGTAACTTTACGGATGATCTCTGAATGAGTTTTAAATGATGCTAACACATTAATCGTGTTATTAATACACATAATCAGTTACGCTTAACAGTGATTAAAGATACAAAGGGCAAGTTACGACGCTTTAATTCACAGCAGATAGTTGTGTGATAGTAGTATACTGGAAATTGAATTAAAGACAACATTATAATGTAGTTTTCTTATAATGTTACTCAAGGTTTATAGCACCAAAACTATTTATAATTACGTTTTCAAGACCATTTCCTTTCTCTCAGCCTGTTTTACGATTATATCTTTATTATTTCTACATGTAGTTGTTATGATTGAGTAACCATGTGTTTGTTTTGACCTCACAGTTGCTCTTTTTGAGAAATGTACTTCGTGTTTCTTATTTTGACAATGCCAAGGTTTTATTTGAAGTACCTTCGGAAGTTACGTGTAAATCTACATGGAGACCTTTAGCAGATGATCTTATTCTGCACAACTTTTCTTTTCTCTGTTCATCAGCTGAGAGACCAGATCAACTCTGATCATCGAGTGAGAGCTATGCTGGATGTGAGATCCTTTCTTTCATGTCGTTACCTTTTTTTGATTTCCTAATAATTCCCTAATCGTGGAAACTGTACATTTATGCAGCGGGTGTGTTTGTGTTATTTGATAACCTGCAGAGATACATGGAAGTGAGCGCAAACCTCAGAGACTTGTATGAAGACAAAGACGGGTAAGACAATCTCAAGGACATCCGAGTCGGTATAGAAATATATCAGCTAGTGCTGGGCGGTATGACCAAAACTTTATATCACGGTATTTTTCAAAATTATACCGGTTTCACGGTACAAGACGGTATTTTTTTTTCATGCATGACCGGGTGTTAACCATATTTTCTAGAGTAACGCGAGCGCTGTTTGCTGAGGCGCTGATATGTGATGTGAACGGACGGTAACGGTCTCAATGCTGGTCACAGATCTGGTGGAGTTCACTGATGAAGAGGGTTACGGACGCTACCTGGATCTCCACGACTGCTACCTGAAGTACATTAACCTCAAAGGAGTGGAGGTACTCTCTGACTTCTTATTTGATTTACATGCCTTCGAATAATTGAACAAAAGACCGTTATACTTCTGTCTGTTGCTCTCTTCTAGAAACTGGAGTATGTCACTTATCTGTCAACATTCGATCAGCTCTTCGACATCTCTAAAGACCGGAAGAACGCAGAGTATAAGAAGTAGGTGAAAGGTGGTGTTTTTGATCAGATTGTGCAGCTCTCGAACAAGCACAGAAAACCTGTCACAATTTGTGTCTGTAAAATAATTATTCTTTTTCTTTTTCCCCCCAAATTCTTCAGTCCTAAAACACAAACCACATTTTGTGTGTGTGTGTAATTGGTAGTTCAAGTTTCTTGTTGTTGTGATAAATGCGCCTTGATATGGATGCATGTTGTTTCTGGTCTGTGCTCTTGCAGGTATCTGGAGATGTTGCTGGAGTACCTGCAGGAATACACTGATCGGGTCAAGCCTCTGCTGGATCAGAATGAGCTCTACGGAAAGATCTTGGCAGAGTTTGAGAAGAAGTGGGAGAGTGGGATGTTTCCAGGCTGGCCGGTGGGTTTGTGCTTAAGAGACAACATTAATGAGCTCTACAGACCTTATTATTACATGTGTTTGAGAGTTTTGCTTTCAGCAGAGGCTGCATATTTTCCAAACATATCAATATATTACCATTCATTGAGGTTAATATTCATCAGTGGTTTAATAAAAAAGTTAGCATAGAAGTATTAAAAGAGATGTATAAAACCGAGTATTCCGGTCCTTGATTCTGATTGGCTGAGCCGCGTTCGAAGCTGTTGTAAACGCTCCTTAGCTGTTATAAATTCACTGTAAACCACAGCTTCTTGGGGCTTATTGCTGTATTCTATCATCCATTACATCTACATTGTCCTGCTGTCCTCTATTAAATGCATGTGAGCACATGAGGAATGAATGGAGGTGTTTTATAAATGTGTGTGTTACAGAAAGAGACGAGTAGTGCTCTGACTCACGCTGGAGCACATCTGGATCTGTCTGCCTTCTCTTCCTGGGAGGTTAGTTTGTCTCGCTCACGTCTGTTAACAATGTGACTCGCATGTTTTCCTAGTTAATCATGTTTTCATTAATGTTGTCACACAAACACACACACACATTTCTGTTGGCAGATCAGTAATGTTGTGTGTACTCTGTACAGGAGCTGGCGTCTCTGGGTCTGGACAGATTGAAGTCTGCGCTCATGGCTTTGGGTCTCAAATGTGGAGGGTGAGTGTGAACACACTGTCCTGCTCATGTTTAACTGTAGATCCACATTTAACTGGATCACAAATAAAACATTCATAGGACTGGAAGTCCCTGATTCCTGAGTCTGTTCGTAATGTCCAAACGTGTTGTTCGTGTGTGTTTTGTTTGCAGCACACTAGAAGAGAGAGCCCAGCGTCTGTTCAGCACTAAAGGCAAATCTCTGGAGTCTCTGGACCCCTCACTGTTTGCCAAAAACCCAAAAGCCAAAGGACCAAAGAAGTAAGCCTGTTTGAAATTGATGAACTGTATAATACAATGGATTCGGGTTTAAATTAGTTCAGAAACAAGTGACTTGTTTACAAAATATTTGTGATTTGTGTTGAAGTGATGAAGCCCTACTTTTTATTTGCCTGTAAAATGTAAATTAGATTTATTTATTTATTTGTTTAATTGGTGTTGTCCAAGTTAATATTTGAAGAGTTCATTTGCAAAAATCGATAAACGGCACTTAAAAAAAAGTGGTGTGCAATCCGTGCATTATCCTCAACATAAAGCCAGTGGCGTAGCGCAAATCCGCAGGGCCCCCCACGAACCACAAGTCGGAGGCCCCCCCTCCCGATCCGGTGTGTGTTTGGGGGGCGGGGTGGTATGCGTCGCAATATTGGAAATATTTCTGTTTTAAACCGTGAAGGCGAGCCAGTGGATATCATACAAGCAACGCACAAACTTTGTGCTAGACTTATGCCGGTGAACGTCTTTCACCATGATAGTGAAAGTAAAAACTGATGACGCTTTCGGCATCTGGCGTCGCACGCAGTAATGGCGCAAATTCTCTCAGAGATGACGAGAGACGAATCTCCTCCTTAATATGTGGTTTATAACTGTTTTAATTTATTTCCTTACAGTTTCTCTTCTGGCCCGAACATGGTGAACAATGAGAATAAACGTATTTCATGTTGAACAGGTTTTTGAAAGTCGATGCTTTAAAAAAAAGCTGCTCTTAAGTTTCATTGATGACTGAAGTGTTAACAATTTTATTTAGGCTATAGGCCTATAATTCATTGTAGGATATAATAGATCTGTTTTAAAAGACATTTTTAAAGGGGTCATATGATGCTGCTAAAAAGAACATTATTTTGTGTATTTGGTGTAATGAAATGTGTTTATGCGGTTTAAGGTAAAAAAAACCACATTATTTTCCACATACTGTACATTATTGTTTCTCCTCTATGCCCCGCCTTTCTGAAACGTGTCGATTTTATCTTCCCACATCGTGACGTAGATATGTGGGGGCGTGTTAGAACGAGCCGTTTTAGGTAGGCGTGGCTGACTCTTAACTTTTATAAAAAATATCTCTTTGGATTTGAGACTTTAGTCTTTGCAACTTTACAGATCTTCTTTATGCACCAAGAGCTTGTAACACTACGAAGAGAAAGGAAACATTGAAATCGCATCATATGACCCCTTTAAAACATTTTCAATGAGGAGTAGCCTAAGCTAATAGTCTAATCTTTTATTATCCTCACAGCGCGTCAGTTATGCGGTGATGCGCTATGAAATTATTGTGGAGCAAATTAATTGTAATATTAATTGAATAATAAAAGTAACCTAATAATAGCCAGAATGTAACAGGCCTACATTAATTGGAAATGCCAAATACTCTTAATAATGACAATATTCAATGCTTTTTAAAATATCTCTGGCTATCGTCGATACATGATGATCATCTTTCAACACACCCCATCGTCGTATCGCGGGGCCACCCCGCAGTGTGTGCCCTGTGTGCCCGTCCGCTACGCCACTGCATATAGCGCAATCTGAACCCTAAACACGTTTTGTCAAAAAAGCCGGTATTGTCCACTTTCAAGGCATCGCGAGTTCATGTTTTACAGAAGAAACCAACAAGCGCCCTTGATGTTTGTGAACAGAAGCCGATAAGTCCATTTTGGCGAATCCGTGCGCTGTATTCAGGTCAGGTGACAAGGCTGCTGTTCAACGGTTAGTTCACCCAAAAATGAAAATTAGCCTGTGTTTTACTCGCCCTCGAGGCATCCTAGGTGTATATGACTTTCTTCTTTCAGACGAATCCAATTGGAGTTATATTCAAAATTGTCCTGGCCCCTCCAAGCCTTACAATGGGGGTAAGCGGGTACTTTTTGTCAACAGTTCAGAAGACGTGAAATAAAGCGCGAGCATCCGTAATAAAAACGTGCCTCACACGACTCCGGGGGGTGAATGAAGGCCTCCTGGAACGAATCCATGCATTTTTGTAAGAAAAATATCCATATTTCAAATGTAATAAACACTTTTCTCTCACTTCCGTTATCTGTAATACGCGGAAGGCATTCGGGCGGATGACGGAGGACGTATGCGCAGCGCGCGCCTCTGAGAAATGCTAGTCTCGCGAGTTTGTTTACAGGAGCAAAGTTTCCTTTCTTTAGCAAAGGAAAACCAGTGTCCTCTTGACTTATATCGAAATCCTCTGACATTTTTCTGTACAAATCCTAGTTTTGTGCTTCTAATTCGTGACCAGCGTTTTGTTTTGTTCTCTCTCCTCGTTCGTCACTAATCACGCGACAGTCAGCAGAAGTGAGAAAAAAAGTGTTTATAATGTTTGAATTATCACAACGTTTGTCAGGCGTCTACATTGTCAGCTGAGGAGATTACAAAGATTAAACGAGTGTTTTTGTTTAACTCTGAAACATGAAATGTGGAGTTATCTGCTTTTGCTATAAAATAAACTTTTAATATATACTAACAAATACTTTCAATGAACTTCAATGAAGTTACCTGTATTTGTTTTAAGTTATTACTTTTGCAAATAAACTCTTAATTTGTTCTTTTGCCTTGTCTTGTGTCTGCAGAGACTCGGAGCGCAACAAGGAATCTGCTTTTCTTGAAGCTCAGATTTATGAATATGTGGAGATTTTGGGGGTAAGCAGTCTGCCTGCTGTAGTTTTATATTTAGTTTCCTCTCATTTCACATTATACTATAATATTTGCAAAATATTTACACTGAATATATACACTACCACAACATTAAAACCTCTGAGAGATGAAGTGAATAACATTGATTATATCATTACGATGGCATCTGTGAAGGGGTGTGATATATTAGGCAGTATATATATATCATTTGTAATCCACATTTATGTCCTATCAAATAATGAGCCAAGAAGAGATGTTAAACATTGGTGTCAGGTGATAAATGATAAGCATTGTGTTTATTTGTTCCATTAGAAACAGAAAATTCAAGCACATTGAATTGTGGGAAACTGTATCTCATGCATTGTGTTCTCAGATCTAGTTTACTTTTTGTTATTTTTAAGTAAATCCCCATGAGTATGTATTTTAGTGTTTTCTCTAACGAGTGGTTTTTAACCCTATTATACAAAACTGATAAGAAAAAGTAAGACAGTTATTTCAACAAAAAAAACATCAAATTTGAAATGTAACGCAGGGAATTCTGGGAATGGCAATTTACGGTTATTCACTCTAAATTATATGGCCTTTTTCCACTTCCAAAACCGGTATACTACCATAAAATTACATGTAATATTCAATACACTTTTTCACTGTATATAGTAGAGCTGTGTTCGATACATCGATACGATGACGCCTCGTCACAGAGATTTGACGATAAGAGTATCGATACAGCTGTCCCTGTATCGATATTGTGGCACTTGTGCAGCTGTGGACCGCGCTTAATTTGAAGAACAACGCTTAAAATTGAGCACAAAAGTGCGAGGTTTCTAAAAAATAATGAATCGAGTATAATATTTAGGCTATAACAAGGTTTAATCTGGCCGCAGAGGAACACAACTGGGATGCCTGATATAAAGAGACGTAATCCCCGAAACAGAGCTTCCCACTTGCGCAATACGGAAATATCTGTACCAGCAATGTAAATATTATTATTTTTTTTTATATTTTAGAATAAGTACATTACAATATAAATTTATTAGAAAGAGTACATTATTATTTATGGGCTTAAAAACAAGATGCAAACAATCAGAATATTGTACCTGGTGGGGAGTGCACAACGTAAACATGAAACATATGCCATTACCTATATTGTACTGTGGTACAGTTATGGAGGCCCTTCATAATGCAGAGGCCAACTACCTGCTCTGCCAATAGTTAGAAATGGCACTATAGTAAGCAGTGTGAGGTGAAATTCAGTGCAGTCATGTATCGTGATACGTATCGTATCGTGGCCTCTGTATCGTGATACGTATCGTATCGTGACTTTGACCGTTAACCTTTTAACAGGTTTTTACTGTAGCATTTTATACAGTCTTTTACCGTTAAATTCACGGTCATTTTTTACAGTGTAGTGTTAAAACGCTTATAGTGTGTCATTAACGTTGTCTTTTGTTTGTCTTTAGCCGATTCCATACTGGCTGTACAAGCTGCACGGCCTGAACATCAATTACAACTGTGAGATCTGTGGGAATTACACGTACAGAGGACCCAAAGCCTTCCAGAGACACTTTGCAGTAAGTTTGCAAGAAAAATGATTCTATGTAGCAGATGTAGCAGGATCTCAGTTTACAATTTAGTTAGTGATTTTACTGACTTTTCATGCAGTTTCCCCATGTTTTCTGGCTCCTTTACTTGGGTCTAATCATACACTAATGAGAGATCTACTCTTAACGTGAAATAAAATACCTGCTAGTATGTTACACAGTAAAGTATAGAAACAAATGCAAATGAACAAGTATTTGTAACTGCTATGCTGTATTGAAAAGCCTATAACAGCTTTGGTGTTCCTGGTTTTCTGTGCTGCAGGAGTGGCGTCACGCTCACGGCATGCGCTGTTTGGGCATTCCTAACACAGCCCACTTCGCCAACGTCACCCAGATTGAGGACGCAGTGTCCCGTGAGTACAATAATTCATCACAGATATACATAAACCACCCAATTCATGCAACGCATAGGATGAATTAGTGTTAATAAATGATTAAAAAGCATTCTTCCATCTCCAGTCATGCTGTTATTTAATTGCTAACAAGATTAACAGTTTTGCTGTAGTTTGACATTACTAGCCTTCTGCTCAAATTCAGGACACTATTAGGTATTTGTTGGAGATACAGATACTTTTTTTTTTTGTTGCAAATATCTATTTTCAGTAATCATTTAATAAAAAAATAACAGGTTTTATAATTGTCCCCCTGACAAATTTTAATTGTCCTTGATAAAAGAACACATTTTAATAAATGGGGGAAAAAAGACAAGATTGTTGCATGGAAACCAAACATATATCATTGAGCTTTACAAGACAAACTACCATTTTAAACCATTTAAAGGTTGAGAAAACTGCCTATAAATTAATATTGATGCATGTTAATAAATGACACAAAAGGGTCCCGAAAAAAACTTTCCATAGACAAACAGTAGTTTACCAATTTAACAGTCAATCTTAGAGTAATCTAATAAAATAAGTATTTACTCCATTATAATATTGTATAACGTTATTGTGAGTGACAGAAATCCAGCTGTAGTTTTGTTTAAAGATTAGAAAATAGAAGACCTACTACATCTTACTGTTTCTCATTTGTAAGCTGCTCTGGATAAATGCATCTGCTAAATGAATAAAAGTAAAATATATATATATATATATATATAGCGCTTTCATTGAATTGCTGCACACCCA